GGATGGCCAGGAAGCGTTCGCGATGTCTTCTCGGGCGCTGATAATTGGAGTCTGTCTTGTGTCTGTGACGTAAAAGACGGATTTAATGCGACATGACCGTTCAAACAGCAGTCGCTTTCTAAAATATCGGATATGTATCGGATTTGTGCCGTTCACACTGTCATACCATGATCGGATATGGGTCGCATAGGGTCAAAAAAAATCGGATTTGATGCGCTTTCGCCTGCAGTGTGAACGTAGCCTTGCTTTCCAACACATTATTGTGGAACTACTATACGCATTCAGCATGTTTTGCATAGCTCAGCCTCCTGCTGAGTAAACTCTGCGGAGAAGACTATGTGTTATAAGGGAGGGAAAAAACAAGTAAAATGAGTGCAGATAGGTAATGGTACAGGTTTTGTCCCCTGTGGTTAACTGCTAGTTTGAAAAGCATTATAAACAATATCTTATCACACTATCTCCACATTTATTATTTATTCATCTTCACAGTCATTTATGCTTCCTTTCATCCCTTCTGATATGTTCTGTATAGCCAAAGGGACGAGCAGTGAGTCGTTTGTTGGAGAGCTTCGCCGCTGATGAGGGTTTTCAGATGGATGGTAGCAGCTTCTCAGAGGAAGAGGAGCACAGCAGCCATTCGCGCAAAAACCCTGAAGGTCTGAGATAAAATTTGATATCTTTTTTTTTTTTTAATAGTGTTTTAAGTAGCAGATAGAATGGTTACTTTCACCATTACAAATTTTAACCAGGATACATTGTTCACTCTTTCTTATGCAGTTCCAAACTGTGTCCTGACCAAAGAGCTGTTAACCGATGGCCTGAAGGTGCTGATTTCCAAGGAGGATGAGCTTCTATATGCTGCCAGGGTTCACACTCTGGAGCTACCAGACATGTAAGCGAACTGTTTTTCTTTTAATATACACAACTTTTTTTTAATGTTAGTCTTAATTCCACTCAAGGATGTTAACTTTCAAATCATATCCTAAAAACTTTTGTCTGACCTTTTGGTCAATGTTAACATGACGTAAACTTTGTCAAAGTGGCATTTCTAAGCAGAAGCTGAGGTATGACAAAAAAGGGCGTCTACAGAAGGTTATTATAGCTGTCAGAGCCATGTTGATAATAAAAAGGATTTTTGCATGCTCATCATAGAAGTTATCAGTAATTCTATGCTTCTTACTTAACAAACGTCACATTATTCCATACTAGGCTCTGAGTATCAATACAGCTCCTCTGGTGCAGGCAGCAAAGAGATGCTATAACAACAGTAGAGTGGGAGTAACACATGACATGGGAGCCAGGCAAGCATAATACAAGCATCTGAAAATAGCTTCATCTTATTTCTCTCTGCTGTGCCTCCCTCTAGCTTTAGTGTTGTTATTGACGGTGAAAGAGGAAACCGCCCAAGAATCTACTCATTGGAGCAACTGCTACAGGAAGCTGTAAGTTCACCTTGTTGCACCTAAACACTCTTTGTTAAAAGAAAGCCATGTCTCATCTTTGGCCACAACAATATATTCTTTCTTTGTACTTTTTTCCACATTGCCTTCCAGCTTTTCTTTAGCCTCTTTTAGTCATTTCGCTTTCTCTCTTTCAACTTCCCTTGTTTCCTCTCAGGGGTCATTGAGAGCATCTAAACTTAAGTGAATATGAACAGATGGGCAGGATCTTTAGGTTTATGTGTGTGAGTATCTGTGAATGTCTGTTAAACTAAGCTCTTTGTGTGGGCTGGATAATCCCACCAAAACCAGGATCCATTCACGGTTTGGAGATTAAATAGGACATGATGCGTACATTACGTCCCCTTTACTGCCAAAATAAGAGCTGTTTAAAGGCTGAAATTAACAAAGACACTATATGTGTATGAAGACCTGTTGTGATGCAAACGTTGGGTTACAGAGCTATTGTAATATTGCCATTTAATTTATTTAACCGCTTCAATACCTTGGCTGGTTCTTTACCTTCTCTGTATTCACAATAGCTTCATACTGTTTACTATAGTGGGACAGATTTGTTCATGCAGGTCTCTTTGCACTAATAACAACTGGGTCACTCAAAGCAGAGCTGCCGTACCCACATCTCCTGAAACTGACTTCATTATTGCCAAACAGGGCACAGGACATTATGTTTTCACAAAATGAATATTCCTAAGACGAGGAGAGCTGAAAAGTAGAGCAGAGTTTAACTGGCACGATTGTGGTTTGCAGCTGTTAAGAGGCCACTGTAACTTTGCAGTGACTTCATCCTAAATGCTGTTGTGCTCATAGCTCACTTAAAATTCTTTTAGAAATTAAAAGATAAAGTTGTGGGTGTTTTTTAAACTTTGTATGTAACCAAAACTTCCTCATGGTTAGGGATACATGCATACATTTTCACCTCAAGTCTCCTGAAAGAAAATGTGACCTTACATTACAAAAACTAGTGGATGCCCATGCTTCAGTACTGTCTGGCCTGTTCATGCACTTGGCTAGAAAATTTTAAATGACATAATGCTTTTTATAAAGCTGTTCTAGGTGAATGGATGCAAGAAAGGGGGTAATTTTAACTCATTGCTACGTGGTTGCTAGGCAACATGATGACATTAATGTATATAATGTATAATTCGGCTATTGCGGATATAAATGAGATGTTGCTGTTGTGAAATTAAAACGATAAGATGCTTTCAAAAGGTCTTATAGGTCATTTTCACTTGCTGCTAGCTGGTTACTAGGCAACATGATGACATCCTAATATCTAGTATAAATAAGAGTCTTCACGGGCATAAGATGTGCTCGTGTGCCAAGTTTGGCTGGTGTAACTCTGATTGTGTAGAAGGAGTTGGAGGACAAAGAAACGAACGCGCATGCAGACAGATTGTGTGTATTATATTTGGTGTATTTCATGAATTTTTTCTGAAAAACTTTCTCATATTTAGTTATTACGTTTTTTTAACGATAAACCACTTTTAAATGTTTTTAAATGTACTATAGAAATAAAATGTACTTACTAGCTATAGTAAGATGACTTTATATATTTATTTACATTATTTATTCATTTATTTTTTTAATTTTTAAAGTTTAGACTTCACACCAAAATCACTGATTTTATATTTAGATTGTTCAGGGTGAGTGGTGACCATTTTTTTTATACATATATATGTATCTGAATTCTCTTTAATATAATGGAACTACAACATAAATTGCCTTGTGGCTCTTAATAAACAAAACTAAATACATAAATAAATTCATTATAAAATGAAAAAAAAAACAACAAAAACAAACAGTAGCTATATCTTTTTCTAGAAATCATGACCTAAAATGCTCAAAAGGAAAATGCTCACAAACAGGTCTCTGATTTTTTTTTTATGTCTATGCCAGCCAAACAAGGTGTCCAGCTAACCCACACTGCTGTTCCGTTCACTCAGAATTATATATCACACGTTCATATGGTCTCAAAGACAATAATAAAAAGAAATCTTACTTTTTAAGTATTCTTTGTATAGTGTAACGTCCTTGCTTTTTTATTCAGGTATAAATGCACACATAGTCATACAAGAACACAATGTTATTTCAATTATCCTCAAGATGATCTTGCATGCCCATTAGTACACGTTAGCCTACTCTCTACCTTAACACTTACCTCCTCCTACATGTCAACTTGTTAATGTGATCAGCTTAGCTTTTTCTTTTCCTTCTTTAACTTTCTTCTCTATTTCCCGCTCATAGTGTCATTTGCTAACTTTCCTGGCAGTTTTTTACCAAGTAGTTCTGGCAACACTGCTCTTATCTAAACACTCATCACATAGCAGCTGGTTCTAATTATGCCATACTTCCACTTTGGTGTCTTTAGATTAGTCCAAGAGCCATTCATTTGACTCTGACAGCAGTACCCTGATACCCCCACCCCCACCCCCACCCCAAAACCCCTGACACGCATACACACACACACACACACAAGCACACACACGTTCACATCTACACCTCATCAGTCAAAGGGTCCCTTGCCATAGCAACAGTAAATGAAAGCAACCTGAAAGAGCCCCCAGTGAGTGGCGGATGCTGGGGCTGCCTGCATTGTTGGAGGGAGGATCTGGCAACCTGCAATCACAAGCCCTCTATTCAGGCCCTCTTTAGTATTACTCAGCAAGTCAGGATTTACTGCATCATGGCTTCCGTTCTTTTCAGCCCTGACTGGCACATTGGCATGAGATAAGTGCCGCTTGGAAACGTGGCACAGTGGCTGCCCAAGCACAATGCTCCATTGCTCTCACACTGTTTGTATGTGTGTGTCAGTGTGTGTATGCAAGCATGTCTGTGTGTGCATTGTGTGGAACCTGTAATGAATCTTAATTATGTTTTGGTCTGACTCCAGGTCCTGGATATACGTCCAGAGTCGGAGGCTATGCTCGCTGAAGGAACCAGAGTGTGCGCTTATTGGAGTGAGCGCTCCCGCTGCTTATACCCAGGCTATGTTCGCCGAGGTGAGGCATCAGTTACAAAGAAAACTGTATATGCATATCGTCCGCTTTTATCACAGCTGATAGAGTGAATTTTTACTACTTGCAGGTGGTTCATCTGATGAGGGGAAGCAAGGCGGGGTGATGGTAGAGTTTGATGATGGGGATCGAGGGAAGATTTCACTCCCCAACATCCGCCTCCTGCCTCCAGGATACCAAATTCACTGTGGGTGCCTCCTCTTGGAGTAACATGGAATTAGGCCTTTTTTTGTTGGGGTGTGCGGCATACTGTGTTAACTAAAGGCTGATAATGTTCTACTTTAGGTGGAGAGCCATCTCCTTCCCTATTGGTTCCCAGTGGTTCAGCAGCCAAGAGAACTTCCAGTCTGGAGCAGGCACCAATCAGTGAGAGACCTTCAGACAGACTGAGCACTATTAACACTGTAAACACCACCCAGAGTCTGACAGTTATTAAAAGAAGACCAGGTGAGAGTTAACCCCTGAAACCATGTTTACCTCCAGTGTTACATGAGCTGTTATGGGTTTTAGGAGTTTTATAAATTATTTAGATCATTTTAAAATCCTCTAAACAAAGGTACAACAAACAAAATGATAATTAACAGTTCAAAATAATATAATCATTTTAGACAATCATCATTATGGAAAAGCTAAAAACAAATTTTAGATAACCTATAGTATTAGCTATACTAAAATAAAGAAGATCCAAAATTTTCATTTTTATATTTAATTTGTGCTATAATTTCAAAACTTATTGATTCATATGCACAAAGAAAACAAAAAAATAACTTTTTTTTTAAATTTATCTGCATTTTTTATGAATTTCTAAGTTGACGATGTGAGAAAGAATTACTGTAGTTTTAGTAACACTGCAAATAGATACATACTCACGAGGCCCATGTTTCTAAATGATGAAACCTCTGACTAAAGCTGAAGTTGACCAGAAAGTCAACTGATCACATTTCACACAGCTTTGCCACCGCAGGCTAAAGATCGAAAAGTTGCCAGCAACACAAAGTTTCACCCACTGACCGGTCGCACCCCTAGGCGTGTGTGGCCCATGCTGAGGTTTTTCCATCGTAGCCAAAAGGTTTGCTGGACGAGGATTTGGGCAAAACAGTGCACCGTTTATTTGCAGTTTATTATCAGAAAATGTTCAATAAACAACATTTTCTTCCGACATAGTTTTAGGAAATATTTGCAGACAGTGACGTTATAAATAATAAATATTAGATGCTGGAGGTTCTTCACTGCGTCATTGCTTGGCTATATTTCTGCACAGCTGGGATTCTTAGTCTGCGTCTTCGCTCTGCTTTTGTCGTGTTCCATTGCATGCCTATATTTATCCATCAGTCATGACGACAGCCTGCATATCAAAATGTGTGCAAACAATATGTGCTGCTAGGCAACCAGGCATGCCTCGATTCTATAGAGGTCAAAATGGCCTCTTTGGCGATTCTAGGTATCATTTTTTTTCTTTTTTGTCTCTCATCAAACCCCAGAATTCACTATGTAATAATGAAATCTATTTTAGGAAAAGTCATGAAATAAGAGATTATGGGGTTTTATTTTAAGAGAGTTTTAAAATGCCAAAGGTGTCAAAATGAACCCTTTGGCAATTCTAATGTTGTAGATGAAGACATGTCTTATCTCATAACAAAATATTGTTGATTTTGACAAGAAATTGACAAGAGTTCTTGACAATAATTCAATAAATAGACTGCAATGCGATCTAATACAAAAGCCTTGACAAAAATACTTTGTAAAATGTTTATTTTTCAGCTTTGGTTTGCTGTTAGAACAGCTTATTGTTGTGTTTATATTTAGTTATTTTCAGTATCATTCTAGACATATTTTATTGAAAGGTGTTTCTACTGTATGAAAGGTATATCTAATATATATACACAGGTGTGTACAAATACACACCCGTGTTTGCTCATTTGTGATTTATTGCTAAAACATATTATATGTTTTTTTTCATTCTAGGGAGACCTAAGGGTTCTGGGAAAAAACAAAAGCAGCAGCAAATTGAGAATGCCAATAAAAATCCCTCGCCTTTCCTGGGCTGGAGCTCATTGACCAACACCAGAAAGAGGGCGTCTGATAATCTCTTTCAGTTCAACGGTGCACCCAAGAGGACCTTGAAAGGAAAGGAGGATGACCTGTTCTCTATGACTCATTCCCAGTCACAGGCTTCCGTCCCAACCAAAGGCCTTTTCAGCAGCAGCTCGTTTGAGGTGGATTCCTTTAGAAGCATTGCAAATGGTTACTCTTCCTTCTGTACCCAGTCTACAGGACCAAGTTCGGCTTTATCTTTGGGTTCCAGAAGTGGGCTGTATGGTGAAAAGCGCAAACAAGATGAACTGGTTATGCCGAGGAGCAAAAGGTCTGGACAAGAGTTCCTCATCAAGTTGGATCATGAAGGAGTGACATCCCCCAAGACAAAGAACAGCAAGGCTCTGCTGCTGCGAGGGGCATCTTCTAGTGTAAGTGGCTTACCCAGGACAGAAGCATACTCTCATCCAGTCCTGCTGGTAAAGGATAACAAGAAGGGAGCCTCCAGAGTAGAACTTCTTCTAAAAGGGACCACACCTCAAAGAAAGCCCTCTACTTCTATGCGCCTCGGGGAATATGGTGACTTGGGCTTCAGCTCTCACAGAGACTGTCACAGCTCCTACTCTGATCTGGATGATGAAGAGGAAGAAGAAGAGGAAGAGAGGAGGGCTGCACTGGCTGCAGCCTCAGGAGGACTAAGGACTGCTGGTCGCTTCCTTTCTCGTCTCTCGGTCTCCTCCTCTTCTTCAGGTTCTTCAAGCTCCTCCTCTTCAGGCTCTCTTTCAAGTTCCAGCCTCTGTTCCTCTGAAAATGATTCCTCGTACAGCTCAGAGGATGAGGATAGTTCAACACTGATGCTGCAGAGTTGTCTTTCCTCCCATCGGGGGCTCCTACAACCATCAGAACCCTCTACATCTTCAAGGCCTCGCCAGCATGCCTTTGTGGCCAAAGCTATGGCTGTTTCCAGTGCCAAAGGTGCTACCCTTAACCAGGTCTCTCACAGCAAGTCCTTGAAGAGGAAAGAATGTGCAGGCTCCCTATCTAAACCAACTAAGGATTTTGTCAAGAAACCTAGGATGCTTCCAGATGAGGCTACATTTATTCCAAGGCCCAAGATGTCCGCATTCCTTTCAGGAAGACAAATGTGGAGGTGGTCAGGAAGCCCTACACAGGTGAGAATAGGCTATCAATCGGTTTAGGTTTTCTCTTGCAATATTAGCTCAAGTAGTTTACAATACGTGCCCCTTGAGGTCAACAAACATCAGTAATAATCGTCATTATCAAAGAGGATTGGTCAAAGTGTCTGGTTTTTCACAGAGGCGAGGACTTAAGGGCAAGGCCAAGAAGCTTTTCTATAAGGCCATTGTGCGAGGCAGAGAAACGGTGAAAGTGGGAGATTGTGCTGTGTTCCTCTCAGCTGGACGACCTAACCTCCCATATGTGGGTCAAATTGAGAACTTCTGGGAATCATGGACTTCTAGAATGGTAGTCAAAGTCAAATGGTTCTACCACCCTGAAGAGACAAAGTTAGGGAAAAGGCATCGAGATGGCAAGGTAAGCTGGGTTGTTATATGGGATACAGTGCAGACAAATATGCAAAAAAATGAAGAAGCAGGCAAATACATTTCATAACACTGTTTTCGTAGCTATATTTGTAACTTTTTGCTTTGCGAATAGCCTGTAACTAATCCCTTATTTCTGTCCAGCATGCCCTTTATCAGTCGTGCCACGAGGATGAGAATGATGTCCAGACAATCTCTCACAAGTGCCAGGTGGTGAGCAGAGAGGAGTATGAGTGTCTGACTCGCAATCAGAAGCCGAACAGTACCTCTCCAGATCTGTACTACCTGGCTGGGACGTACGATCCGACCACTGGTCAGTTGGTCACTGCTGAAGGTGTTTCCATCATGTGCTGATCCACTAAGGGGACACACTACTGAAGAACTTCTTCGGAGGAAGAATATAACGTCATGATTTGTCCTATTCAACCATTCAGTCTGGCAGAATGGCAAATGTTATTTGGGTTTGCCTCCAGGACCCACAGACAAGATGTCAGCACCAAAACTGGACTGACTGACATTACACACTGGAGTCTGTTGGTGTCTAACATTTGTGAGGCCGTGAGCATAGCTGGTTGATCCAGTCATTAAGAATAGCAGAAAGTCTGTGTCTTTCTGAGCATAGCAAAATTCAATAAGTGACATTTCAACCATCTAACTAATCTCTTTTAAAATGGTCCTTTGACAGCTTCACAACTCCTTTTTAAAAACTCATGCTTCCAGCTCCTATCAAAAGGAGAGCTGGAATTGTAGTTGACTGTAAAAAAAATAACATTAGGCTCAAGAGTCAATGCGGACCAATTCTTTAAAAGGTAGCCTTACCTGAGGGAATGGAAACAAAAGTGAGGCACAGGGCTCGACCCAAGCCTCTTCATTCCAGGGAAGTTGAAAACATGTAAAGGGTGTAAAGTTGATGTCTGTAAATATTTTTAAATGTTCCTAATGAAGCCATACACTTCAGTACCTCTCACCTGTCTTAACTGTTCAGGTGTATATTGTATAGTTCAATTATTGTATTGTTGTCTGTTGTCTATATGTACATAAAAGCTATTTTATATAGGAGTTTATTATGTATATATGAAATGTATCTTTCCATGTTTGCAATTGATTTATTTTTATATATGTGTAGAATACATTACATTGTGTGTGCTTTTTCTTTTTTCGTTTGCTGCAGGAAGTTAAGGTTGAAGATGTTAGTGTTGCACTGCATATGCCCTGCTGAGAGAGACTGAGACAGAGCACAGACAAATACAGAAGGATTTAGTCTACAACAGGACAAGACTTCCTTTCTAAGAGAAAGGTGTCATTCTGTTTAAAAAGAAAAAAAACCCCACATAGGTCAAGTGGCTTTTTGCGTAATTGTCTGTTCCTTCACATTTTCGTTTGGCTATTTTTTTATTTATTTACCTCTCTGATGGTCATCATCACAAAGTCAGATCAGACTTAACCGCAGCCACGGGTCGAAAGTGATTTAAGATGTGATACGAGCGTACCGTTACGGCGCGACGTTTGTGTGTGATGAGTGTCCCGACAATATAATCGTGTCCACACAAATCAATGTTACACAATACTGGATCTTCTAATGAAAATGTGTTAAATGTGCAATGCACTCATCAGTGCATAGTTTAGCATAATATGGCCTACAAAATACCAAAGTGTCTTTAATATCTTAATTTCCTTTATTTAAAAAACAAGCACCTGTACTGAACACAGAAATCACTGGTAACTTATAGAATAATTGTCCTCCACTATGTGCAAATTTACTGGCTTTGCATTGTGACAATGGTTTCTTGCACACGTACCTGCAGTTTTGGTTAGTACATAAATATGTACCAAAATGCCACCTGGAGGTGTGACTGTGAAGGTCAAGGTACTGATAAGGAAAGAAGATGAGTACTGACAATTTGTTGAAATGAGTCCATTTTTAGTTTCATTAGCCGTCTGTGTCTATTTTGTACAGAACACATACATCCTTGATGCTAACTGTGAAGGACAATCAGATTCACAAAGCAATGGACATAGAGCAGGTTTACTCGATCTGGAAATTACTTATGTTATTTAATTTGTGCCAAGTACATTTTCTCTATTTTTGTCTTGTTTGATATGCAATCCTGAGTATTTTTTTGCTCACAAAGTTTTATTTTGTTTGCCAACATTTTATTTATTGTCAATGTTGCTGTTCATGCCAAGAGCGCTTTATGAGAATGTGACATTGTTTTTTTTTCTTGGTGTGATGTCGCATTTGCATTTCTTAAATAAAACTGGTCTTATAGAGGCCATTTAGTGAAAAAAAAAAGATTAAAAAATAAAGCAACACTGGATTCTTCTCATCCAAAAACCTCTGTGATTTAATTCTGTTATTTTGACTGTTTCCCACTCATCTTACTGTTCATTTCCTATTACCGAACATTATATCATTATATGGACAAAAGCGTTGCCCACACCTCTTAATCTTTAAATTTCACTGTTTTCAATCAAGCAACAACAAAAAAAAAAAAAGTCAAGCAACTGGCCACACAATCTGCTTTTATCTGTAATAGGATGCCACTGTTGTAACAGGTCAGTTTGTGAAATTTCTTGCCCCTAGATATTTCCAAATCTCTGATTGCATTAACATCAGCACGAAAACTGTGCTCCTGGAGCTTCGGGGCATGAGCCCCCATGGCTGAGCGGCTCCTGTGGGTGTAATGTGTCGGTGGCCCAGTACTTTTCTCCGTATAGAGTATGTTTAACCCTGATCTTTTTTTAATATACAGTATATTAGTTAAATTTGTGAAGCAAAAATAAACACATTTATTTTATTTCATTTAAGCAGAAAGTTATAAAACTGCACTCTCTATGCGTGCACACTATAAATCTGTGAGTCTTTAACAAATGTATTGAACCACCAGTCATAAAAACAAGAAAGGATACAAAAATCTGTCAAAAAATGGTTAAAAAACTAATTTATATAGTTATTTATTAGGCATTTTATTAGGCAAATAATAACCAAATTCATGTTTTTATACCCAAATTTGAGCCGGCACACTGGACTTCTCTAACAAGTCAGAAATTCATTATTCAAGGATAACACTCAGTCGCTAAAGCTACCTTTTTCTGTTCATGAATGCAAGTACATTAACTGTGATTTGTCATCTTTATTTAAAAAAATGTTTTAAAACATAACATGCTTTTTTTTAAAACAGTAAATTTGAAAATTCCCAGAAAACAGCAATAATATTTTATCATTAAAAATATAATTTTGATTAAAGAGATGGTGAATTAACAGTGATTACAGAAACATAAAAATGTCTCTGGTAATTACCAATACTGTTAATTTAGGGCAGCTGTCACACAAACCTTACACTGGGTGGTGGTCTAATAAATTTATCAAGCACTGAATATCAGCAAGACAGAGTGTTCTAGATAATATAATAATATAATATAATACAATAATATAGTTCTAGAAAAATGATTATGGTCTTCTGAGTGTGTCAAATGGACACAAAATTGAAGGCAGAAAAAGAAATAATAAAAAATAAGGCTGTTAATGCGAATGGAGTAACTAGTTCAGGCAAAGCACAGCACACTCTGTATCGTTTGAACTTAACAGTCACCAAAACAGAAATTTGTGAAGTCGGCACACAATCGTCACGGCAAGCTCGTGCTTGCTGCACATTACACTCTTTACTTTTTACTCAACTCACATGACTTATTTCTACTTATCTACCTTCTAATGACAAATTCCCCAGCCTCCACCACTTCTAGATGTTGGCGGGACCTCTTGTCATGTTGCACATTATGTATATCACATGCACCATTTACATGTCTGCGTTGGCTCTTTTCTTTATACCCCTTAGGGAGCTTTAACATGCTCCCCTTAGAATACTGAGGCTACTTGGATTCATTTGCAAAGCACCATCAAGCACAAAGCCCCCTTTTCTGCCAAATTCTTTTATTTGTTCCAATAAATCCTTTGATGTAAGTGTCTCTGGCTGAACTAAGTTTATGTGAGCTTTGTGTTCCTTAGTAAATAGAGACAGATCTGTCACAGCATCAAATAAAGCCTAGTGGGTTTAGCTGCCAAGCTCTGTAAATATGATGTTGACTGATTCAGAGATAGATGTGAATTTGAATTTCTGTGATTCAAGATAGAGTATATTTGTCTATTTTCTTTTAAAAATGAAACGGTTCTTTGACGGTGTGTGTTTGGTGGGTGTGGTAGACAGGCATATGATCACCCCGAAAGGTGAACAAAACTACAATTTTCTCCACCCTCCTCCCAAAAGATCCAAGTCTAGAGTGCTAATCACATCAAAATGTCTGAATGTGTAAATTCAATGTGTAAGTCCTGTGATGTTTATATATAATTCAGTGATATAGATTCTCAAAATAAGAGAAATAACAGAAATGTACAATTGATATTCATATTTGGTTATTTTTTTTTATCAAAATAAAGGGATTTCTGCAAACATTTTTCCATATAGGACACGTCAAATAAAGGATATAAGTAAAGAAGAGTGCTCTCTAGTGGAACACAAAGCACGCTGCATATAAAATAAGTTTAAAAAGACTTTTCTCTTCACAAGATTTAATCTCAAAACACAGTCTAGTATCATGAATTTTAAATAGAGCATGAAATGCCTGCAGCAATATAAACCCATGCTCATTCAGTGCCTGAAGCAGCAGGTACATTCCTCTGTACACCCACACGATCCGTAACCTACAGCATCTGTCCATTTGCATATATGCATAGCGGCTTTGACAAAGCCAATTTCTGTAACCTGAAACCCGGGAAACAACTACTGACGAGGCCTGAAGGAGACACAATATGGGTCAGTGACCTTTCTCTGCAGGCCCAGGGGTCTTTTTGTCCTGCATGGAGCCTGGGCGCCGCAACCCCGCCCCCTAATGCCCAGGCAGGGACTAATGGGTACATCAGTCATCTCCAACAGCGTCCCAGTGAACACAAACAGTTCTATTTACCACCACAACCTTTTGTGTTGACTATGGCCACTGCCCCGTGTCCAAGCCGTTGCCTTTCCTGCGTCAGCAGGACTCAACTCAAGCAGAGGGTTAAGAGTGAGTGTGCGCACATGTTAAGGTCATTATTATGTTTTGAGATAGTTTTGCTTCATTACTTCTCAGTACATAAGACTCATTAGAGATCTAATAGGATAATTTGGGGTTTAATTAAAATACTTTTGACAAATTATACTCTCTGAATTAAGCCAACTAAACAACTTGTTTCTATGAGGAAGATAAATACCACTAAAACACTTTGGTACATCGGACCGCATTTCTCAAAGACTGCCTCAACTCTTCAGCTGCACCCCAACCTAAGTGTGAGATCTCACTCAGACTGGTCTGCCTGCCTTACATTTCAGTGCCTGTCTGGTTCAGCTTGGTGAGCATCCAGACCATGTTGCTCAGTGTCAACAGGAGGAATGCTTTCCTGCACAAATATCTACACCTCATAAATGTCTCGCCTTCTGCTTGACCCTGTCTGGCCTCTGACTGTGACGAGGTCGAACAGGGGACAGACAGCCTGGTTTTCTGTGCGCGTATGCGAGAGAAGGGTTGAGGTGAGGTCTCGGGTCTTAACGAGGTGCTGGGAGAAGAGAGCAGGGCAAACAGATCACTCGGGCTCTCACTGCTTATTTTTAAACGACACCCTGATCATTCTTCTAGAGCAAATCGGTTATGGAGCAGCTAAAGCCATCGTGGAAAAACCTCGACCATACTGTACTGGGGAATTACCATAAATCACATTGGTGAGAAGCAAAAGTCCAGCCACAGTGTGAGAAATAAAAAACATCTTTGATATCAAATGACTCCTGGATATGAGGAAAAAAA